ATTTTCAGTATTTTTATGCTTTTATTATAGAAATCTTGCATGCCATTTTCTTGTTAGATTTAGCTCAAAGTATGTGATGTTTTCAGATGCTATTTAAAACTATATAATTTTCAAAATTTTATTTTCCTGTTTATCATTAGTATACAGAAAAGTAATTAATTTTTGTATGTTGGCTTTATATCAAATATCTTTGATAAATTCACTTGTTAATTCTAAGAATTTTTCCGTGGATATTTTACATTTTATGTATATACAATCATGCCATCTGTGAATAATTACGGTTTTATTTTTTTGCCTTCTAACTTATTTTGTGTTTTCTTTTTCTTATCTTATGCACTACATAGAGTCTCCAGTTCTGTGATGAGTAGAAATGGTGGTAATGGCATCCTTGTCTTGTTTCTGATCTTATGTGAAATATTTAAATATATTACCGTAATATGCATGCTCTTCCATCCTTTAAGTCTGCATATTTTTATCAGATTAAGGGAGACTCTTTCATGCTTTGTTTAAGAGATTTTAAAACTTATTAATAGGTATTATACTTTATCAATTATTCTTCTCTGCCTATTGAGCTGCTCACATTACTTTTTCCACACTGTTATTTTGATATTATAATGTTAATTAATAGGTTTCCAAATGTTAAATCAATCATGCATTTTTAGGATAATTCTAACTTGACCTTTATATATTATTCTTTTTATACACTACTGTGTTAATTTTATAATATTTTCTTTAGGGATATTTCATTACACAGATATTTTTCACAGATATTTTTCTTCTGCTTCTCTGTGCTTTTAACTTGATTTATATTATTTTTTCTTGAATAATCCCTTTTAGTATTTCTGTTATAGCAAGTCTTTTGGTAACAACTTTTCTCAGCTTTTGTTTATTTGCAATGTACTTTTTAATCCTTTAATTTAAGAAGATATTTTCAGTGGGCATAGAAATCTAGGTTGGCAGTTTATTTTTCCCACTGTGTTTTTAAAAACACCATTTTATTGTCTTCTTGATTCTATAGTTTCTTTTGAGATATTTGCTGTTAATCTTATTATTGATTCTTTTAAGATAATTTCTTCTTTCTAACTGCCTTAAAGATTTTCTCTTTATTTCTATTTTGCAGTGGTTTTACTTTGGCATTCCTGTGTGAACCCATTTTTTTGTTGGTCCTGGTTAAAATTTTTGGATTTTTGGCTTGATTTCTTTCATGTGTTTTGTGATTTTTTATCCTTTTAATATTGCTTATGATCTACATTTTAATTCCTCTCTTTATATGATCCAATTATATGTCTGTGTACCTTTTAACTATTTTGCAAATATTGTATATTCTTTTTTGTATTTTCCATTAACTTATTTCCCCATGTTTCACTGTGAATATTGCCTTCTGATTAATCTTTCAGTTATAGGTACAATCTTCTGTTATCTCACCTATTGAGTACTTATTTTAAAATAATACAATTTTTAAAAGTAAAATTTTCAACTGATTATTATTTTCAGTTGATGGTGAAAATTCTCCATCTTTTCATTGAATTTAATGTATATAATAGTTATTTTATAATCTCATCGCCTGGTTCTCTGTGAATATTTTAATCTTATCTTTTTTGTTTGCGTGTTTATTTGGGTAATTAGTATCTATTCACACTTAAAAAAATTGAATGCTGGACATTATGAAGGAAAACTTTTCAGGATATTTTAAGGCTATCAATAATATTACCCACCACAGCGTTTTACTTTGGTTCTACCAGGCAGTTAGGGTAAGAGCACATCACCTCATTCGATTAAGAATTGAGGTAATTCTAAACTAGGCTACATACTTTGTAATGGCTGATTTTTTTTTCTGATTTATCTTCACTCCTTGAGTACTCCCTTGGTGATCTATTTTCTCTATTCCTTTCCAAACACTGAATACCAATGCTTAATCCTGTGCAATCCCTTGATACTCTCATAGTATCAGTCTTTCTGAGAGCTGTTCCAAATTATACAAGGCAAAGTACATGGTAAGGAAAAGCAGCACAAAAGGCAGGCTTTATTTCTCTTAGCTCTCCATTCTTTTTTGGGATCCTGACCTTTTTATCTTTGCTAACTTGTTAGCTCTGCAATGCCTTAAATATATGTTTTAAACATTCTGTCCAGTTTTTTAGGTTTTTTCCCCCTTGGCAGAAGCATTAATCAGAAATAAACTAGTTTATTATTAATGGAAGTGAAAATCCACCAAATACACTTACCTAAAAATCACGTTATCACAATCAAGTTACCAACAATTGTTTTGATGTAATTATACCTTTGTCTGTTTTCCTTTGAGCATAAATCATGTTTTTAATACCATATGATACTCTTTTTTGACATTTCTATTGTTTTTGTTTTATTAGAGTGTATCTTAAACCTTTTTTCGTCCTTTGGAAAAGATGCACTTAAAAGTTTCATTGTATTTCTGAAAATGTCTTCATTTTACTCTTGAATATGAATAATGGATTGAATGAGCATTGAATCTCAAGTGCAAAATTATTTTTCTTAGGATATGAAGACTGTTTTTAAACATCCACTTTTGCATTTGAGAATTCTGATACCAGTCAGATTATGCTTACCTTTAATCTATGCTATTTTCTACACCATTTTCTTCACCTGTCATACTTGAACTTTCTTTCTCTTTCTCTCCCTTTTTTTAAATTTCAGAATATTACAGGGGTGCAAATGCTTTAGTTACATATATTGCCTTTGCAGCACCCAAGTCAGAGCTACAAGTGTGCCCAACCCCCCGATATCATGCACTGTACCCATTAGGTGTGAATTTACCCATCCCCACTTCCCTCTCCAACCTGCCCAACACCCTATGAATGTTACTTCCATATGTGCACATAAGTGTTGATCAATTAGTAACAATTTAATGGTGAGTACATGTGGTGCTTGTTTATCCATTCCTGTGATACTTCTCCTAGAAGAATGGGCTCCAGCTCCATCCAGGATAGTACAAGGGATATTTGTTCATCATTTTCTTTATAGCTGAGTAGTACTCCATGATATACATATACCACATTTTATTAATCCATTCATTTATTGATGGACACTTGGGTTGTTTCCAGATCTTTGCAATTATGAATTGTGCTGCTATGAACATCCAAGTGCAGATGTCTTCTTTATAGAATGTCTTTTTTTCCTTTGGGTAAATACCCAGTAGTAGAATTGCTGGATCAAATGGTAGTTCTGCTATGAGTTCTTTGAGGTATCTCCATATTAATTTCCTTCTCTTTCTCTTGACACTTTTTCCCTGGAATGGTTTAAGATTTTCTTTTTATCTCTTATGTTTACAATTTCCACCAAATAATACCTGTGTCCCCACTGGGCACCTATTGAAATTGTTAATATTAAGTCTTGAATAATTTTTCAGCTGTAGAAATTTTCTTTGTTATTCTCCTCTTCTTTATTTTTATTTCACCTTATGAAACTTCTAATGTATCTATGTCAGAAATAAATACTTGTACCCCCAAAAATATTGACATAGAAATTTAGGTGGAATTTTACAACAAATAGTCATAAAATGGCTATATCTGGTGGGTAGTTGACACCTCATTACTTTAAGAGGTAAAAAAATTGAAACTAGATAATATATGTGAAATTAAATTGATGATTATAAAAACTTGTGAACATGTTAGTTCTTATTGTTTTTTTTAATTATCTTAATATTAACTCTTCTCGCTGAGATTGATTATAATTAATAATGGATTTCCAAATATTTATTTTATTTTATTTTATTTTTATTTAGTTATTTATTTATTTTTGAGACAGAGTGTCACTCTTTTGCCCTGGCTAGAGTGAGTGCTGCGGCGTCAGCCTAGCTCACAGCAACCTCAAACTCCTGGGCTCAAGCGATCCTTCTGCCTCAGCCTCCTGAGTAGCTGGGACTACAGGCATGCGCCACCATGCCCGCTAATTTTTTCTATATATTTTTAGTTGTCCGATTAATTTCTTTCTAATTTTAGTAGAGACGGGGTCTCGCTCTTGCTCAGGCTGGTTTCGAACTCCTGAGCTCAAACAATCCGCCAGCCTCGGCCTCCCAGAGATCTAGGATTACAGGCATGAGCCACCGCGCCTGGCCGCAAATATTTATTTTATATGTTAAATTAGTAAAAATCACTAGGAATGTCATAGAATTGGGTGAAATGATTGCTATGGTAACTTTCAAAATCAAGTTTGACCTTATCTCTGCGTGATATTCTACTCAGGTCATTCAATTCTTTAAATGTCCTTTACTTTAAATTACCATGCTTTCTTTTCTATTGCCATTTTTGAAAACCATTTTGAAGTTTCTTTATAATCTGATTTCTGTTTCCGCTCTGTTTTCTATGTTTGTGTTTTTCGAAATTCATGAGTAATTTTCTTTGTTTTTCTTTTCACATATTTTAATGCTCGACCAAAGTCATCCAGATTAAAAAAAATAATAAACAAAATAAATAAACATTCTTGTTTTCTTTCTCTAGTGTGTGGCTAAATCTTCTTATGTCTCTTCCCTATATCTCACATTTGGTACCTCCTCTCTTTTTGCATTATTGCTACCCACATGCCAGTACTCCTGTCAGTGGCCATATGACCTCTATTTGAATATCTCTGTGAAAGAAATATTATTACTACCTGAAAGAGATCTAAAATACCAGACAGTTCTAATAAAAAGTTCTTTCTTTTGTGAATTAAAGTACTCCTTCATTTTTAGCTCTTTGAGATATCCATAATATTGTGAAATAAAAAATAAAAAATAAATATAAATAAAATGCTCCTCCTTAAAACTTACTTTTGTATGGCATATTCTGTATGAGGGGTCAACAGATAATATCATTGCAAGTATACACTCAGACACAAACACATGCCTCCAACAATTGCTGCCAATATTTCTTACAGATATTCAAATACATGTTCATATATGTAATTGATGAACAACTTTAGTGAAAGTAATTTATTTATTATTTTTATCATAATTTTAGTCTTTTGGGGACTTTTATAACCTGAATATATTACCTCTCATTCAATCTTTGTTTAGCAAAGAGACTCTTCACCCACTCCTTGATCTGCTTGGTCCTGATCCCATAAATGACTGGGTTGAGGGCAGGAGGGATGACGACATAGAGATTAGCCAGGAGGATATGGATATATTGGGGAATGCTGTGACCAAAGCGATGAGTGAGGAAAGAGAAGAGAGCTGGGCCAAAGAAGGCCAAGATGACACAGATATGGGAGCTACAGGTATTAAGAGCCTTCAGGCGGGCATCTTGGGAAGGGAGGTGGAAGACAGTGAATAAAATCCTAGCATAGGAGATAATGATAAGAAGCACATCCGTAAACAAGATAGAAATATTCCCAAGACCATAATAGACATTGGCACTGATGCTGGCACAAGCCAGACGTGCCACTCCCATGTGCTCACAATAGGTATGAGGGATAATTCTATGTCCACAGTAAGGCAGCCTCACGAGGAGAAAAATGATAGGAGCAATCATGCATAAGCTTCTTAGAACTACAGCCACAGAAATCACACCAATAACTTTGTTGGTGATGATCATAGTGTACCTGAGGGGGTTGCAAATAGCCACATACCGATCAAAGCCCATGGCAAGAAGTACAATGCTCTCCATGACTGTAAAAAAATGGATAAAAAATACTTGAGAAACACAGCACCCAAAGCACAGCTCCTGAAGGTTGAACCAGAAAATGCCCAGCATTTTGGGGATGGTAGCAGTAGAGAGACTCAGGTCAATCACTGACAGCATGGCCAGAAAGTAGAACATGGGTTGGTGAAGGTTATTATTAGTCAAGATCACAAACAGAATCATAAGATTTCCAATGAGAGCAATCAGATACAGAACACAGAAGGGAAAGCCAAGCCAGATTTGTGCAGTTTCCAGTCCTGGAATCCCTAACAACAGGAATGAAGAGGGGTGCAGCTCAGTGATATTGGGAGAAAACATTCTTCGGCAGGCTGATGGTGGCCATGGTTTTAAAGGTTGTTGCCAGTTTTCATTTGGCGTTCCATCCGGACTTAATTGAGATCTAAAACAATTAAAAATAAAAAGTACTCAAATAAAGAATTCATATTATGGAAATGTTTCTGTAGAGGTCTTTGATTCTTTTTCCTTCTTTCAGCTCTCCGTAAGTAATCCTAGGATCACTCCTCACCTGCACTCTAAGTGTGAATGGCTGAGATGCCAAATAGAAGCTAATGATATCTCTTCTAAAATTATAAGTTAAGAGTACATAAATGAACTTACTCCCCTCTTCCTTAAGAAGTAGACACTATGAGGTAATAATAAATCAATAATAATATCAACCACCACAATAATGATAGCTATCATTAAATAGATAACTATTTTTTTCAAACATTGTGCCTACCATTATTTGAATATATTATCTCATTTAGTTCTCCCTACAATTCTATGACACAAGTTCTGCTGGTATCTGGGTTTATGTAAGAGAAAGATTTTGATAAGTTAAATGTTTACATTGTTTACAAAGCGAATAAGCAAAAGAGTCAAGATCTGAAACCAGTTCAAAATTCAGCTATGTGACATTAATCTGAATCTGTCTTTGCAATACTTGCTAATGGAAGTAGTAAGAGAGAAAGAAAAGTAAGATTTGGGGAAGAATAAAAGGATTGAAAATAGTTAAAACTTTCTCAAAGAAGAGTAAATCTGCAGGATTTACACTATCAGATATTGAGACTTCCTATACAGCTGTGATGACCATAGCAGTGTGTTAGTGGCAAAACCAAAGTAGAAAAAGAGTGGAACAGAACTGAAAGTCCATAAGCAGATCCAGATATTTTTTAGGGTCTTAGTATCTAGAAGTAAGATATCTCCAAGTGAGAATATAAGAGAAATTTTCAAGGGAAACTGATGACCTGTAAATTTTTATCCCCATATGAAGTTGTTTTTCAAAAGCCTGTTGACTTCTGTAACAGTTTTAAAAAATGTAACATCAGATCAGATCTGCTGCTTGGAGCTAGCTACACTGCAACGTTTGAGGGGGCAATTCCCAAGATTGACCTCACTTCTGACATTAACTACAATTTCAGGGATTTTCCAAAACTACTCCCAGGTTCAGTAATTCCCTAGAAGGACTGATAGAACTTACTGAAAGCTATTATGCTCATGGCTACAGTTTATTACAGGAAAAGGATACAGACCAAAATCAGACAAAGGAAGAGATGCTTAGGGAAGAGTCTGTGAAGTTTCCAAATGTGAAGCATCTGTTGTCCTCTCATAGAGTCAGGATGCATTACCCTCCTGGCATTAACGTGTGACAATATGCGAAGAGTCACATTGCCAACCAGGGAAGCTCACGCAAGCTTTGGTGTCCAGAATTTTTCTTATGATTTCATTACATAGGATGATTGCTTGCTTGATTGATTGCACATGTGGTTGAACTCAGTCTCCAGATCCATTGATGTCACATGACCCAAAGCCCCAAATCCTAAGTCATATTGTTGGTATTTATGGCATGGCCAGCCCCTACCCTGTGATCTGGTATGGCTAGTCCTTACTATAAACAAAGACACTCCTATCAGGTATGGTGTAGATTACCTCCCAGAAACCAAAAGAAATGCCAGACCTCTCTTTGGGCAAAGCCAAATTCTTTATTATATTTGTTTATTTAGTCCCAAAGATATACTTTACTACTACTGTATCTAAAATTTTTACCTCATGCCTCATCTTGGGCCTTGCCCTAAATTATAAATCTAGGTCTCCCAATAATTAAATTTGAATTCATTTTAATTCCTGTGAAGCATGAAGACCAACAGCTGATCACCATATTGTATCCTTTTCTCTATCAGGGTACATGTGCAGTCACTCTAAGTGTAAAGGAGTTCAAGCTCATTATTCTATCTTTCTTTGCCCACTATGGCTTTCATATAACTTTGTGTATCACTCGCTATATCACTGTAAGGGAGAGATGTGCAGGAAAAAGAAGCAAAAGCACGGAGAATTTAATATTATTGGCATTGTGGCATGGGATAGACTTCTTATTTCATTCTGACTGCCTTTGTGACCTTAGGTAAGTTATATCAGGTCTGAGTTAGAGTTTCATTAGAAATAAACATAGTACTATATACCTCATATTATTAAGGGTGGTATAAATGAGGTCATATATGCCTGAAAGAGTATAGGTGTACAGAAAATATTTTTCTCTCCAATTTCTTCCCATTTTATTCATCCTTCTACCTCTTCCTAGACCACTGATATATGCCATTTTATTCCCTACCCAAATTCTCTAGGTCTTAACTCAATGTCTGTGAATTCAAATTCCAGTCTTAAGCACACATTACACACACTTATCACAAACACTTACCAACATTCCTTCCTCTTTCTCTAGTCATGTAACAACTGTGCATTCACTTTTTGAAATAAATATAAATGGCTTAGAATAGAGCCTCAATGCACTCTGAAAGATGTTAACAAAATGTCTTTGTGTGTTTGTGCTGGGATGGTAGATTTGTAATAAAGTCTCCAGATGCCAGAGTCTGGGGCATTGAGATTACAGTGAATAGAAATTCCCCTTTGTCATTGCATCAGCTGCAAAGGAGCTCTAGGGAAAGCTCAGTGAATTTCTGCCCACTATTTGGTCAAATGGTCAATAGCTAGTTCTTGCTATTCACATAATATTTGTGACAGGTCCCATTTTATCTTTTTTCCTCCTTTTTCTTACTTATCCTTCTCTCTATCAGTCTATGAATTGCTTGGACTAATCCTTTGAGTTCTGTTGGGCATCTATATAACCATCAACTTTTTTTTATTGTGCCAAAATACATATAACATAAAATTTACAATTTTAAAATCTTTAACATGTTAAAATTTACAATTCAGTGGCACTTTTTATATTATCAATATTGTGCAACTATCACCATTATCTAGCTTTAAAAGTGAATCCTGTACCAATTAAACAGTTATTCCCCAATTCTTCTCTTTTTCCAGGCCCTAAAAACTACTAAATTGCTTTCTATTTCTATGCATTTTCTCTATTAATTTATTCTGGATATTTCCTATAAATGGAATCAAGCAATATATAGTCTTTTTATCTGGCTTCTTCCACTTAGCATAATGATTTCAAATTGTATCCATATTGTAACATGTATTAGTACCTCATTACTTTTTATGGCTAAATAATATTCCATTATACATATGTATCACATTTTGTTTCTATACTCATCAGTTGATAGATATTTGGGTTGTTTCCATCTTTTAGCTATCATCAATAGTATTGGTATGAACATTCTTGTATAAGTTTATGTTTGAACACCTGTTTCCAATTCTTTTGGGTATATATCATTGGTACATACCAAGAAGTGAAATTTTTGGGTCTTATGGTAATTCTATATTTAACTTTCTGATGAAGTGCCAAATGGTTTTCCATAGTGACTGCATCAATCTATATTCTCATCAGCATTGTATAAAGGTTCCCATTTCTCACATCCTTTCCAACACTTATTTTCCATTTTTAAAAATTACAGCCATCTTAGTCAGTGTCAAGTGATATCTCATTGTGTTTTTGATTTTTATTTTCCTTGTGACTAAATGATATTGAGCATCTTTTCATGGGCACATTGGACATTTGTACATCTTTAGAGAAATGTCTATTGAAGCCATTTGCCCATTTTTGATTAAACTGTTTATTTTTTCATTGTTGAGTTTTACGAGTTCTTCTTTATATATATTCTGGATCCTAGACTATTATCAGTTATATGATTTTAAAATATTTTCTCCCATCCTATGAGTTGTTTTTTCACTCTGTAGATAGTTAAATTTGTTTCACAGAAGTTTTTAATCCTGAAGTTAAATTTATTTATTTTTTTCTTTCATTGCTTTGTTTTTGTTGTCCTCCATAAGAAACCAAATCCAAGGTCATAATTTACCCCTATGTTTTATTCTAAGAGCTTCATTGTTTTAGTTATATTTAGGTCTTTTATCCATTTTAATTTAATTTTGTATATAGTGTGAGTTAAGGGTCCAACTTCATTCTTGTCTATGTGGACATCCAGTTGTCCAGGCACCATTTAAAAAAAATTTTGGTTTATTTTTCATTGACAAATAATAAATCTATATGTTATGGAGTACAATGTGATGTTTTGATACATGTATACATTGTGGAATGATTAAGTTAGGCTTATTAGCATATCCATCACCTCAAATATTTATCATTTCTTTGTGGTGACATTTAAAGTCATTTCTTGTAGCAATTTTGAAATATACATTATTATTAATTATAGCCACAGTGCTGTGCAAAAGTCAGCACCATTTGCTGAAAAGACTATTTTTCACCCATTGAATAATCATGACATCTTTGTCAAAAATCAATAGACCATAAATATACAGGATTATTTCTTAACTCTCAATTCTATTTCATTGATTTGTATGTTTATTCTTATGCCAGAACCATACTGTTTTGAGTACTATAGCTTTGTAGTAAGTTTTAAAATAAGGAAATGAGTCCTTAAACTTTGTTGTTTTATTTTCACATTGTTGTGATTATTCTAGGGCCTTTGATAGTCTATGTGAATTTTAGGATCAGCTTTCTCTTTTCTGTAAAAAAAAAGACATTGAGATTTTAATAGGGATTATACATAATGTATAGATCACTTTGGGGAGAACTGCCATCTTAATAGTATTAAATCTCTCAATCCATGAACATAAAATGTTTTTCTATTTATTTAGACCTTCTTTAAATTTTTTCAGCAATATTCAGCAAAATACAACTGATGTCTGTATGTCACTTTTGTATTGTGAAAATTTACTATTTGTTTATTAGCTGTAATAGATTTTTTGTGAATTCTTTATAATTTTCTTTTTTATTTATTTACTTTTTTAATTTCAAAATATTAAGGGGGTGCAAAAGTTTTTGTTATGTGGGTACACTATATAATGCTGAAGTCAGGGCTTTCAGTGTGCCCACCATCAGGGCAATAATATTCATTGTA